ACACGGTCCTTCATGAACAAAAGACTGATCGCTTACAAAATTTGCTATTCGCTTTGATTCATTTTCATGCTGAAAAGATTTGTTTCTTGTTTGATGTCTTCTGCGGTTGCACCATCCCAAGTGTATTTTATGTCAAGACTTGATGTCGCATTGTGACCCAAGTCTAGCACAATAGCTTTAGTGTCATTTTAGGATCGGGAATAGACCTTACGCGTATAGCAGCTGCTTTTGTTTTGCTGTGAAATGCCTTTAAGTGAACCTTTTGAACATTGTAATGGTACTGAATTGGAATAACAAAAGACGCCTCATAAGATGCCCACACGCACATGGTCTGTATAAAGATTGCACTCTCGGTTTTACCCCATCCCACATCTGGACGCTGACCAGCTGGAACTCCCCCAATCAGCCCCAACCAGTTCACTGCATGTCGATTGCTAGGGGGACCGACAATTCATCCCCAAACACACAATAAAGCCCTTAAATCAAATCTTTAATTTTTTCCCAACGCATACAAGTACATAATAATATTACTTAACATTTGAATTATTGTGTATGGATGGATGGAGGTCTCCAAAAAGCATGAGCTTGTCGAGTGGAGACCGCCACTTTAATAAAGAACAATAACAATCACAATTACAATCATAGTTACAATTAATTACAAGTACAAGTACAACGATAGGAGTTAAATGACAAAAACATAATGGTACAGAGCTAGTAACACGAAATAAAACTAGAGTTATTTGGTCTTACAAAATGGGATTATTCTACCACATATTTGTTAATTAATTGGGTTTTGTATTTGCGTTTGAATAATGACACATTTGACACCTTTTTAAGAGACGGATGGAGAGAATTCCACAGCTTGGGGCCTTCATGTTTAACAGTTTTTTGAGTTAAAGTTGTACGAGCCCTGGTGAACAAATATTGGTGGGGAAAAGCTGGTGAAAAGGGGTACTTGAATGGAAAAGGCCAGTCTTTACAAATTATTGAGTGCGGGGGAAATACCCCCCTTACCCCCCCCCCCCCCCCCCCCCCCCCGCTGCTGGCTACGCCTATGCAAGATGAGTATATTTTATTTCATGAGGAGAAGGACTAATGGATTAATCGTTTGTGTTTGTTTGAAACTGTGTCTTAAAACTAAGGCGATCATGAGACTTCAATAACAGTTTTGAGTTGCAGTTTGATTATTCAGAGAATTGTTAGCGTGTATATACAAGCTGACTTGTCTAACACGGTATTATAGGTTTTCCAGGCCGATTTCCTGGAACGTTTATAAACGTTAACGTTTATTAACTTCTGAATATCGGTCATTCGTTTGCGTCTGAATTTGAATCCACGTCTTTAATCCCATTTCAATTTAAAGAAAGTTCAATCGTTTTCATTGTCCGTGCATTCGGTTTTGAGAAATAGACGGCCAATAACGTTACCTGTGCATTCATTTACGCAAGAATATCTTTTCTAAATTGATTTCAGGTACATCTAATTTGATTGACGGTTAATGAAAGAGAAACCTCTAATTGTGTCTGGTGCCGATGGCGTTAAACTTAAAGTGAAATAGAAAGTCGAGTGTTTGAAAACGCCCTCTAAATACGAAACAGAAGTCTTGTAAACGACTCTAAATGAACATAAACGAAAGGTGCTGCTCAATCACTTAAAACTGAATTGAAATGGAATCGAATGCTCTAGTAGCGAAAATGAAACGCGTGTTCACAGCGATTCTCATATTGTTATATACTTAAAGTCACTGAGAGCAAATGATAGCGTAGCTTACATACAAAAATTCTTCTTTTCTAATACAGTGACCTTTGGAAAGGAACTTACCAGTTTGTCTTAAAATATTAGAAGGATGTACAAAACAAAAGAGTTATAACAACTTTTAAATATTATTCTGGGTGCTTAGGTTTCCCAATGTCACACAAACTAATTGCAATGTACATGTACTTACAATGAATGACAGAAAGTGCAAAACTTACAACAACAAGAAGGGTAATATACAAGGTATATCAAAAAAGTAATCCAAACTTGATATGTAACAATTTACGAAACTTGAAAAAACGTCAAAGTGGCTCCTCGTATCATGTTGCATCTCTTCATTTACGGGTGACCAAGCAATGTTGGATTCAAGACAAAGGTCAAAACCTCTTTTTCCAAGTTTGTTGGATAAGTTAAACTGTACGACGAGGAATGTGCTGTCACTGTGGCAAGTCCGTTAAAGGGGGTATGTTAGAGATGTTGGTTAATTAGCATGGCACATCATGTTGTGCACAGATAATTAATCCATCCAACGATTTTTTCAATCCCAAACTAGCAATCGAATTTCAAAAATCTTTCAAATACCGCTTGCAATGGGCATAGCTAAAACCCGGGGCCGCCCGATAGTCCGAAGGTCCTATAGTCCGAAGGTGAATAGTCCGAAGGTTCAATAGTCAGAATGCACACAATTTCCATAAGAGGGGGCTCGTTAGTCCGAAAATGAAATAAGGTTCGTTAACCCAAACATTTGATGCAATAGTCCGAAGGTTCATTAATCCGAATTGACAATAAGGTTCGATAGACTGAAACGACAATAAGGTCCGAAAGTCCGAATCGACAATAAGGTCCAATAGTCCGAGGTGTCATGCTGACGAACCGTATCGCCCATTCGGACTATCGAACCTTTGGATTATCGAACCTTCGGACTATTGAACCTTCGGACTAATGACACTTCAGACTAAATAACCTTCGGATTATCGAACCTTCGGACTATCGGGCTGTAACCGCCAAAACCATGCCAAGCTAAGCCGACGGCTAAGCTCTTTTTTTACTAAAATTTTACTTAAGCTATTTATTATTTTAATGTCGATTAGAATTTCGTTTATGTTTGTAAGTGGCTAAAAGCCAACGGACTCTATCTGAATATTCAGAAATGTAAGTTAAATTTTCCACAGAAAAAGAAAACTCTGCAATATTTTCAATCTTTACTAATCGGTTGTTAAACGTACCCATTCGATGTGTTAAAAAAAGCTACGTTCCTTGGTGTGATACTTGGCAGTAAGTTGACTTGGACCCATCACATCAATGATATTGCTAGTAAGATTTAAAAATCCATTGGTATTATTCGTAGACTCAAACACATTTTCCAACTAAAATTCTCCGTACACTCTATTGCTCTGTCACTCTCCTATACCTAAATTATTGCAATATAGTCTGGGGAAACACATTTCATTAAACCATTAACAGACTGGTCGTTCTTTAAAAAAAAGCCTTTCGCTTAGTCTTCAAATATCATTTCACTGCTCACACGGATCCTCTGTTCAAACAACTCAAACTACGCAACCTTGGAAATATTAATGTAGATCCTATATCATCAGAACATCTGTATGTACTAATGCTTCAATAAACAACTCCCCGCCCACTTCCAAATACTCTTTCAATTTAATTACAACATCCATAACTACGACACACGAACTTCTACTAACATTCATCTTCCAAAACAAAAGACAATACTTTTTCAACACACAATTCAATATACTGGCGCAATCAACTGAATTAAATTTCCCAATGACATCAGAAACTCAACTACACTTATATATTTAAAACTTAAATCAAAATGCACCTGCACAAATGCTCTTTGTAAAATTCTTATCCGTATTACCTTACTGAATTGGTTTAATCCATAAAATAATATTATTTAGGCTCGTAATAATTTAAGGTGTTTTGGGTTTTTTTGTTCGTGATTTAGTGTTCTGTTTGTCTAAATGTTTTATCGAGCTGTCCATCTGTCCGTTTTGCCTGGCATCCCCAGCTCAAGCAACCGCTTGCCGGGACATGCCTCCGTTTTCATCTTTCGTTTCAACCAACTTCTTAATATCCACTTGTTACGCAACGAGTGTTGATCTATATTTACTTGCGTTTTATGAGATGTGAAATGGAAATAAATGTGAATGAATTAAACAATTGAAATGTAATGCTTGTGTTGCAGTGTCCCCCTAAATTGTTCTTCTTTACCAGCATGTAAAGTCATCTCTATAAAATGGGGCTAAGCCTACTCTGGTTCCTTAAAACCAAATCGCAAAATCGATGTATTTTTCTGATTTAATCAGTGACAATATATACTTTTAAACTAATTACACACAGTAATCTGCATATATATATATATATATATATATACATGTATAACTAAAATACAAGAATAAAAGAAGGGTTTTGAAAAGGCACACATGTAATATCCAATACTATAAACCGATTCATTTTTTTCAATAGCTATTTTCTAACAATACATTTTTTATTCAGAAATTACACACGTTCATAGTTGGCCCAGAGGAAAAACAAGCTGTCGATTGTATCTATCATCATTAGTGGTTATTTCACCAAACTCACACATACGTAAACATATACATCTCATCATTTGTATAATTATGAAAGTCGATTTTACTGTGGTATACCAGATGAAATAACACGAAAATGGTGATATAACAAGCGATTTTGTTTGTCCGAGCTATATACGTACCATCTGCAATAATAAACAACGGTTCCTAAGGCCAAAAAAAAGTCTCCGGTTTCTGGTATGGAGCTTGCCCCAAAAGTGGTGCGGCGACGCGGCTTTCTTTTCTCTTTTTACCTGTGTTTTTTTTTGGCTTCAAATGTCGGCTGATGACTGCAAATGATGCCCGACTAAACTTAGTGCAAATATATGGGAGTCCAGAGAGGCCACATAAAGCTTATTCTCGATCATAACCCCATCTAAAAACACGTTAAAATTGTGCAGTAGCAGGATTCCAGTCAAACCAGTGAGTTTGGCGGTTTTGAGACATCATCTTGTATTGAAAAAAAAAAAAAAAATTGCCGACGCGCATGGCTACGGCGACGCGCGCGCATACCAAAAACCGCAGACTTTTTTTTTTGGCCTAATACTATCTGCCAGATGATAACTTCATTCACTCACTGTTTCCCGCCCGGTATCAGAATTATTTATGTAAGGACGAGAGTACTCACATGGTGGGTCTCATGCGAGTCTTTTTTTCTTTAAAATATGTTGAAAATTTGCTAGGAGAGGAAAGTCGAATTCGTTGAGCTAAGGGGGATGATAGCAGTGAGTAATGCCCAAGCTCGTGGTCTTTGCCCTTCTTGTCCTCTCCCTTCTCAATCGGAAAGGAAGCCAATGAGCCCATTGAGTGCCCCTCCTCTCGCTCCCTGCATATTTGACACCTGTGACTCACCACTGTGTCATGTTTCACCAGATTATTCAGTATGAGTTCGCAATATTTGGATTTTCTCAAAATAACTACCTCCAAATCGTGCCATCAAAGGGGCTGATTACTTTGCCAGGAGGTAATAGAAAGACCCATCCCAGGTGTAGCTATTGCGACGCCACTCTGACCTGGTTGCTGTTGCTCCGCGGTCAACGGCTCGTGGACCGAAGTAGACATTGGTGACAACCAGACGCTCCGTGGCTTCGTTTCTGCGAGGCAAGCCATCCTGTCCGCATAGGTTGATAGAAGAACCACTCAAACACATCACCCGATCTCCTGAGGACGCGTAAAGTGAAGACCATAACATATGAGGGTCATTCCATGTCAGACCGATGCACTTTTTTTACCTAATGTCTCCGATTTTGATAAAAATTGCTGTGCTTGAAGGTCCTGATGAGCAATGAATGCACACCAATTTTTAGCCCGATCCGACCTACCACGTGGTCAGGGCAGAAACCACAAAAAGCGGACATTTTTTTAGAGTAAAATACCACCCTTTTGGTAGAAATATGTCAAAACCATGTCAATTTTAATCGAATATATGCGAATTTGGTATTGAAATATCAGAAATAATAAGAATTGCATGCTCAAATCAACTCTTTTGTCAAAATCAAAGTTTGTGAAAAGGAGGTCACGTGACCTTTAATATGTTATCGTGACCTTTGACCCAATTATTGTAATAACGTATCATGCCGAAATTCAACGAAATGAAAATGACTTGATAGAGCATGTCTTCCTCTATCAGAATCTACTCAAAATCAATTGGGGTCTTCAAAATTTACAACTTTATGACTATTTTTGTACAGTTGGTGGGTTACAAATGAGTCAATTTATAGACTTTACATTAGAATCCACCCACACAACTTACTTTTCTGTTTCTAAAACTACTGAAATTAATCTTGGTTTGGGAGTTTCTCACGTTAAGGGCTGATGAGGTCTTACCAGAGTCATAATATAAATTATCAGCAGTGGCGCTCCCAGGATTTGGCTTTTTTTTTGGGGGGGGGGGGGGCTCATAGCTTTCTGTTGTCAAATTTCTGTAGAAGATTGAAATTTGACAACCTTGGAGACAGCCTTCGAGCCCCCCCCCCCCCCCCCCCGACTCCCCCCCCCCCCGGTGCCACTGATAATTAGTTATCCCACGAGCACGCTTGGAATATTGGAATATGAAACAGTGCAATGCTGCTGTGACCCATATGCCACATATCAAATCACACAGTTGTTGCTATAGATGGACCAATCAGGGTCTAGGATTCAAGGTTGCTTGAAGATAATACTCAATATCGCAATCAAAGTAACCTTACTCATTCATCACTGCACTTCTTGAAATTTAATGAACTATTATCTGGGGTGCTATAGCTATAATTAGTTATCCCACAAGCGCGCTTGGAATATTGGAATATTGGAATATGAAACATTGCAATGCTGCTGTGACCCATATGCCACCCGACGCACTACATTATTCCGTGCTCCACGAGCCATAACGAATTTATCTTCAAGCAAACTTGACGTCGAATGCGTACATTGTACGTGGTGAGGGATGTAGGTGCATAGTGTATCGGACCGTTCAGCAACAAATAAAAAGAACACAATACATACATGTACAAGTACATGTACATTCGATATCTGGGGTGCAATTTAACTGTGCAATATATCAAAGGCCAAAAAAAAAAAGTCTCCGGTTTCTGGTATGCGCGCGCGTCGCCGTAGCCATGCGCGTCGCCAAAATGAAAAAGTTTTTTTTTCAATGAAAGATGATGTCTCAAAACCGCCAAACTCACTGGTTTGACTGGAATCCTGCTACTGCACAATTTTAACGTGTTTTTTTTAGATGGGTTATGATCGAGAATAAGCTTTATGTGGCCTCTCTGGACTCCCATATATTTGCACTAGGTTTAGTCGGGCACCATTTGCAGTCATCAGCCAACATTTGAAGCAAAAAAGTCAGGTAAAAAAAAAAAGAAGCCGCGTCGCCGCACCACTTTTTGGACAAGCTCCATACCAGAAACCGGAGACTTATTTTTTTTGGCCAATTCAAACAGTTGTTGCTATAGATGGACTAATCAGGGTCTAGGATGCAAGGCTGCTTGAAGATAATACTCAATATCGCAATCAAAGTTACCTTACTCATTCATCACTGTGCTTCTTGAAATTTAATGAGTCTCACATACTTGGCATTTTTTTCCTTTGAGATAAATTTCACCTGGATGTGTGTCCGCTGTACTGGGTCCGGGTAAAAAGCATAGAGCTGTTGCGTACCCTAAACAGTAATTGCTGACGACAATCGACTCTCAAGCATTCGACGTCAAGTTTGCTTGAAGATAAATTCGTTAGCCCACTTGCACTCTTGGAACACGGAATAATGTAGTGCGTCGGGTGGCATATGGGTCACAGCAGCATTGCATTGTAACATATTCCAAGCGCGCTCGTGGGATAACTAATTATCAGTGGCACCCCGGGGTGGGTGGCCTCAATTCAAAGTACACTCGTAGGATAACTAATTAGGCCCCAAAAAAGTCTCCGGTTTCTGGTATGGAGCTTGCCAAAAAAGTGGTACGGCGACGCGGCTTTTTTTTTTTTTAGCTGAATTTTTTTGCTTTAAATGTCGGCTGATGACTGCAAATGGTGCCCGACTAAACTGAGTGCAAATATATGGGAGTCCAGAGAGGCCACATAAAGCTTATTCTCGACCATAACCCAGTCTAAAACCACGTTAAAATTGTGCAGCAGCAGGATTCCAGTCAAACCAGTGAGTTTGGCGGTTTTGAGACATCATCTTTCATTGAATTTTTTTTTTTCATTTTGCCGACGCGCATGGCTACGGCGACGCGCGCGCATACCAGAAACCGGAGACTTTTTTTTGGCCTTATCAGTGGCACGGGGGGGGGGGGGGCAGCAGCCGGCTGGCTCGAGGGGCTGGAACCCCCCCCCCCCCTCCAAGGTTGTCAGTTTGTTTGTTTTATTTTAGGGTATTTTTTTTTCAATCTTCTACAGAAATTTGACAACAGAAAGCTATGAGCCCCCCCCCCCCCAAAGCCATTTCCTGGGTGCGCCACTGCTGATAATTTATATTATGAGTCTGGTTAGACCTCATCAGCACTTAACATGAGAAAATCCCGAACCAAGATTAATTTCAGTAGTTTTAGAAACAGAAAAGTAAGTTGTGTGGGTGGATTTCTATGCAAAGTCTATAAATTGACTCATTTGTAACCCACTAACTGTACAAAAATAGTCATAAAGTTGTACATTTTGAAGACCCCAATTGATTTTAGTAGATTCTGATAGAGGAAGACATGCTCTATCAAGTCATTTTCATTTCGTTGAATTTGGGAATGATGCATTTTTACATAAATTGGGTCAAAGGTCACGATAACACATTAAAGGTCACGTGACCTCCTTTTCACAAAATTTAGTTTTGATAAAAAAGTTGATTTGAGCATGTAATTCTTATTATTTCAATACCAAATTCGCATATATTCGAAGAAAATTGACATGGTTTTGACATATTTCTACCAAAAGGGTGGTATTTTACTCCGGGTTTTGGGGGTTTCTGCCCTGACCACATGGTAGGTCGGATCGGGCTAATAATTGGTGTGCATTCATGGCTGATCAGGACCTACAGGCATAGCAATTGTTATCAAAATCGGAAGACATGAGGTAAAAAAGTGCGTTGGTCTGACATGGAATGACCCATGAGTGAAGTTGGTATTGTCCAAACTTCGTGCAATATCCCGAGTGAGTGGCGTAAAGTCGTGTCTGTGGGAGGAAAGGGGTGGGGGATGACCATACCGTAAAATATAAAAAAATAATCGCCCGGCCTTTGAAATTTGAAAAGCGAGAGGGGGACACCACGTGACACTAGGTGCGCAGTTTATGATACAAATGTTCATAAAATGCCATCAACTGTATAAAATAAATTCTCCCAGGTGGAAAAATGTGTTTTGGCTAGTGAAGTAATTCATGTTAATACGCATGCGTGAAACATGTCACGTCATTGAATACAAATGTCGTGTGATTTTAAAGAATGTCATATACTTTTTTATACGGTGGAAGGCGCGGCACCACTCTAGCCTAATGCGTGAGATCGCGTGGTCACAATGCTGCAGCTTGCGGGTTTGAATCCCTAGAACTCTACGTATTTTTCATTTCCCCAAAAAGTGAACGTTCTTCCTTTGATTGTTTTTTTTGTCAAGTCATACTGATAGATGAAATAGATGTTTTCAGATTCGTGACTCTAGAGGATTTTTTAAAGGAAGCAAAGTCCGAGAATTCCGTTACCAACTGACGCATGCTCATTATGCATGTTCATACTTGGTTGCAGAAAAAAGTAATTTGTCCCATGTACACGCGATGCATGACGGACGATAAAATTAATATGGCCGACGCGGTAAATCTTTCATTAGTAACAAATGAAATAGATAATAAATGAAACACGTTATTAACAGAACTGCAAGGCCTGACAGCCAATTATGGACCTTTTGTCAAGGTCACAAAAAAAAAACGCCAAGAATTGCAATCGAACTAATTTGTTTTTAATCCAATGAACTGGTTACCTTCTTCGTTAAACTGTAGCCGATTGTTATTGGTATATCGCAGTGGTATGTTGATAGAAACAGTCTGGAGCGAGGGCAGATAGAGGGCGTGCACGGTAGATGGATTCCTGGAGTCGTCTGCTTGTAAAGAAAAAGTCACATCGGTGCGGATCATGAAGTCAGTGAAGGGTAAGTTCTTGATCGCTTCAATCTCATCATCCGAGATGATATCGAGATTGATTTCTGCCTCATCTTCGTCTTTGTAGTTCCAGACCGACTGCATGTTGCCTTTTCCGAAGCGTGCCCAGCCGCCAGGCATCTCACAGTACACGGGATACTGCGGCCAAGGAAATCAGATTATAGTGCGCCTGTCAGGTCTTGGCAACTAAATCATCTGGAGGTAGTATAGTTGTCACCAAGTGTTGGCTTATGGATGAGTTCGATATAGTTTGTGTTTCCAAGAGGAAGTGAAATTCATGCCTATAAAGTAGTTACTATAACGTTCAAGCCTTGTGCACTTTTTTTTGTAAAGGTTAAAGATTGTTCAGCAAAATAAAGCACTATTAATTCTGCAAAAACAAACTTTAGGCCTATTTATTCTTTAAAATGCACGTTTCGGTCCAATTAACCTCATTTTGAACTTGGCATTGCCATTTCTAAGATGTTTCGGTCTTTTCTGTTGTTGTGTTTTCTTGGTGTTTTTTTAGGGGGGTGTTATGCTAGTATAAATTATATGTTCATGATCAAAGCTATTTCAATAATCAAAAGTTGCCAGATTTGGGGTATTTTTGGTTGTGGTAATCTTTCTGCTGTATGTTCTTTGTTAATTTAGTACATGAAAGGCAGTAAACGTATAACATGTGTATGAACAACCCAAGTGAGCCTTATTTATTACTTTATTATTACTGTAAATTTTTTTTCTGAAGGGACACGGCAGCAAGACCGCCTTTTATTACAGAAAAGGGTACGGAAATTGTAAAACAAAACAAAAAGTCCAAACATTTTACAGTCATTATTTCATACGGTATAAAGAAATGCATATTAGCACTTAATTTACAGTAACATTCATGGCAGGGACCCTTATTGTACATCGCTTTCTACTTTACCTGTTTATTTCCAGGTACGAGGAGGTAGTACACACCGCTGGGTGGCTGTTTACAGACCTCCAGTATCTCACTGCATGAGGTGGCTGGGTTCTGCACAGTGCCACTTGCACATGGAGTTGGTTGCTCTGTCACAGATTATGGGGGACATAAATCAGTTTGTTTTAGACGTTGGTGTAAGACAGAGCAGAACAGAACCTTTCGTAGTAACACAACAGAAATTCGTAGTAACACAACAAATTACCTGTTGAAACACGACACTGTTCAAAATAATACGTTGTTACACCAAAATGCATTACAGCTAACCTGTTACAACTCGTAACAAAACATCACAACACAACACAACTCAATCAACAATTAACAAAAAATCAAACGTTTTTTTGTTGAAACACATTACAATACAAGAACATCCAACAACAAAAGGCACACCACACCATAAGTCCATTTGGATTGGACAGTTTGACCGCAGTCAGCGGTCAGTCTCAACTGGACGGCTTTAGTTAGTCTGTCTTTCATTTGGACAGTCTCAGCCAATTAACTCAGAGAGGGTGCGTATGTAGTCTCCACGGCAATCAAAATGCGACTTGGGGTAAATTTTATATTGGACATGATTTTGTCACAGGTTTACAAGACATCAATCAAACTTTAATAGGAAGTGAAAAGGGCTTGAGGCATTTAGCTTCATGCTTTAGACTCCGAGGTTTTGGTCAAAAACTGTCTCTTGTCGGACCAAAGTTCCGGAATTGACGCGGCAATGCGGTTTTTTCCCCTTCCTTTTTTTTTCAAGCTTGGATTGTACAGACAAGGTTGGTACCATTTACCTTTCTGTGTCCTCATATACCTTAGTGTCCTCCATCATGTTCATTGGTGCCCTCCATCGTTTGCCTTCGTGCCCCTCCCGATTCCTTGGTACGAAAATTTGAGGCGTTATTGTAGCTACCGCGGAAAATTTCAATAGAAAAAAATATTGACGCGTATGAGCATAATCGATGCGCGCGCTGACCAGAGACCGACAATTTTGTTGGCCTTAGGTCCATTGCTTTAGGCCAGGTGCTGTATTCACAAAATTTAAGAGAATACTTGAGTCAGTCTTAAATCTAAGCACTCTAAGTATCCGGTAAAATATCAACGAACTAAAATTCTAGAGCTGTCATACATTAAATTTATTTGGGCTTCCTTTGACAATAATTCGATATTGACGAGATTTCCCTTAGCCCGTATATAGAAAGTCCAATTTCGTGCCCAAAACATACAAACTAACAGACAGACAAAGAAGCCGCCATCGACACCCTAGTGTCCCACCTAACTTGACTTAAGACAGGTCCGACCACCCGGGTGGTCTTATTTTCGTGACTTAAATCTAAGGGTGCACCCTTAGATTTAAGTCACGAAAATAAGAGAGGCACTTAGTGAGCATGTTCCATGAATACTGATTAAACATTAAAACTCGTCTAAGTTGCAAATTTAAGTGGATGCTTGCTTTTTAAGACTGAAGTTGTTTTGTGAATACGGCCCCAGGGATCTAGGATTCAGGCTTCTGGTGTATGTCGTATTGCTTTTGGTATACGAAGGGCAGGACACAGTGGTTAATGTTCAGTTTAAGGCAGTTTATGGTAACATGCAGTCAGTTATTCCGTCAGCTCGATGGATCGGGGAGTGACTCAGTCAGTGACCCGTCAGTCACTTGCTCAGTCAGTCAGTGTCTCAGTCAGTTTTCCTCAGCTAGTGACTCAAAGGACAGTAGCCTTTTGTCATTCAAGTCCAGTAGCAACTCACATTTCTGAAACACTTTTACCTTGAAGTTGAACTCACCGGAACAATTCAGCCATTTTCGAATCTCTGTTTGGTTGCTGCTGTGCAGAAAGGTGTCATAATACCTGACATCGAATGGTCCACAGGGGGCCCGAGTGTTGAGTGAGCCGACACGGACCTCAGTGCACTGACAGGGATCCTTCACCGGGATAACCCAACGGTACCTGTTTTGGGAGGCGGGGTCCGGCTCCTGGCCTATTTCGCAGTACATCGCTATCAACAAAATAATACAATAGCACACAAAAGCCATTCAGACCGATTTCCGAACATAGTAAATAGGTATGTCCACTGTAAGCTATCCCGGGACATACCGTTATTTCGTTTTACCGTTTTGGATTTCCTCTAAAACAAAAACAGTAAACGAACCGATGACCGTTTTGTCGTTTTACAGTTTCGTAAAACGGCAAACGCGGTATTAAGATAAATACGGTTATCCGTTTTATCAGTTTAGTAAATTTCATTACAGCATAACGATCAATGATTTTTGTTTTACAGTTTTACACAAATAAGTTTGATAAACAGCAAAACGGTCAGTATTGAATACAGACTCTTTTTTTTTATTTCAGTGTCATAGTTAACAGTCCGTGGTGCATTTTGTGGCAGTGGGCAAGGGGGAGGAGGGTGGAGGGGACCATGCCGTGCACGAAGAAGTGTTACCTCGGCATAATTAATGCGTGGTGTGATTCCTCGCGTGACCTTGACCCCCATCTACTGCGATTCAGTTGGTGGGGCTTGAAGAGTTGCAAACAAAAATGGTGCTGGAAAATTTCATGGAGGAAATTTCAGAATAGTTACAGGGTGGTAAGATGTACGAAGAAGTTGCAGATATGTTGAAGGAAATTGGAGTGGCCAGCGCGGCTCTTTAATACTATAGCCAATATTCTCAAATTCTGTCGTGAGAACTAGAGCGACATAAATGTAAGGAGGGCAATTTGACAGGCAGTAACTTGATCCCAAGGACACATTAATATTCCAAGGTGCCGCATTGCTATAATTGCCAACTTAAACCTGAATAAAAAAAAATGGTCGACAAGACTATTGACCGTTTTGACATTGTCATGTTTTTGTAAAACAACACTCTAAAAATAAAGCAACTAACCGTTTATTACTTTTTACAATTTACAAAAACAATAAAAAGGTAATTGTTTTTTGTGACTTAATACCGTTTGACCGTTTTACAAAACTGTAAAACGACAAAACAGTCAATGGCTCGTTTACTGTTTTTGCTTCTGAGGAAATCCAAAACGGTAAAACGAAATAACGGTATGTCCCGGGATTGTAAGCTCTATACCACATCTGTTGACCCTTCAATCCGATACTTGCCTCTTCAACGCGCATGCCTAAAAAGTATTAAGCCTGGTTTCCCTATCGAGGTTAGCTTACGCAGACTATTTCCGAAGACTGCGCAGAGAGTACGCGAAACCGTCGCTAAAACTGAACCAGATTTCACCTTGGAGTTTGGAGACGCCTCACAGCACAAAAAGGGAATTCCGCCTCCAAGAAACTTCTAAGATAAAACTCCCAACCCTGTTTGCTGATTAACTTCTGCGTTGGAAATTAAATCGAACCACCGAATAATAATTTTGAAAATGACGAAGACATTGCATGTAGAAGGCCTTAATACGCTGAAAAACGATCTGCCAACAAGAACAACCTTCCTTACAACCGCTCACTCTCTTGTTAGAGTCTCGGGACAGGTTAACCCTAAAGGGGCCGGGGGGGGGGGGGGCGGAATCCGCCTCTGTGTATACAGAGCAGAATTGCCATTCGTACATATGAATAATTAACTAGCCATAATTCCCAAACCCTCTCCCCTATAGTCATGAAATTTCTTGGGTATGTTTAGGAGGAGTTGCTCTATGCATGTGCCGAGTTTCAAAAATTTTCTTCACTCGATGGCCAAGATCTTGGGGGGGGGGATCCGCCCCGCCCCTCCCCCCCCCCCCCCCCCCCCCCCCCCCCCTGCTGAGAGATGGTCAAAATAACCCGGCCACTTTAGGGTTAAGGCTAAGGCGTAAACCTGTCCCATTTGCGAAGAGGTGAAGTAAACGTATATCGAGCTTAGGGATTGGTCGAAACACTAAACGCGATTCAAGTTGGATTCCAAACATGCAGTCAGATTGGTCACGTAACCGGGGCTTTTTGTATGTAACAGTATGCTAAAATTCCCTTTATTTGATACAAACTGACTCGACGTTGGGTAAAGCATTTTTTTTTTTTTAAAGGTAGCCATGCCCACTGTTACCTTTCACAACATTACTGTTGATTTTATACTGACCATAATAAAGATATTTATAATCGCCAAATTTATTTCAAATTTGCCAAAACGTTATGATGGTTTACTTAAAAAAAAGTCTAAGCCTCCTGAACTGAAAAGCCGACTCTATCTCATGCACGCGTCTCCTAGTTAAAATAATGCAGAACGATTGCAACTAAGTTAGTAAAAGTGTAGCCCCATCAGATTCAGAAGACAGTGCTTTTCACACCAGTTGGTAATAATGAACATCAACATTGTAACGAAATGTTATCAATTTTACCAAAACAGTCAAATCTTTTACATCTATCATTTTGTCATACCAACAATTTAAACAAATGAATAGAATTGGGGACATTTAAATTGGCATGTATATTTGAAATTTCTATACAGCTATTGGCGAGGTGAAAAAGAGACAACATATTAGTTTCCAAACAAATAGTTTACCTCGAGTCCCGTGAAGCCTTACAATCAGCAGTATCACAATGCACGTCACAAGGAGGACAGTACAAGCAAACGGCGGCATTTCAAGATGGTTTCCCAGGCTCTAAGCAGTATAGACGACGAGTCCGCGACCCAATGAATGACGGAAAATACAATTAATTTTGATCTTGATGCGACCTCAAGGCTTTTTCCCGTCAACACCACTGACTAACGATCACTCTACAGCTAACTGATCTGCGTCGACTCTTGGAAATAGCCCATTACATGATTATAATGCGATTTGCCGTTTCCATGGCAATTGTCAAATCACCTTTGACAGCGCCAAACATTGAAAAGCGTCGGAAAAACCCAGTCTTTTCCAAAAGGACATAAAGCGTATCCTGAGTGAGGGACTACAAGTTGTTGTCTTTTTTCGAGATGGGAAGCGCCAAAGTGACAACACAATTTTCGCCAAGTGAGTCGGCATGGTACATACAAAAAACAACAAGAAATTAGTTATGTTGTTTGGAGACTAGACAAATGTTCATGATTCAACACTAAAATCCTGCGTAATGCCAACAAACCGGTCAATTATTGCACGAGATATTGATACTTTTAATTAAGCAGAGTTTGAGAGTGAACAAAATCAAGAGAAGTGTCTGCCATTCAAGCATCTAGGATAGGCAAACAACTACATCCAGAGGCCTTCTATTGTTTTTAGTCACTATCTTTGGCGGTGCTTTTAGTTTTCAAAGTAGTCTGCTTTCCTGACTTTTTTTTCTGCATGTGTATAGACGAGAAACCTCCTTGACATTCTCATTGAATCATGGGTATAGATGACAAACGAGCCATGCAGTTTATGCACAAACCTACAGTTGCAGTAAACCAATCAGGTTTTAAAATATGTTTTTCTTCAGTAGTTTTCTAAAACTAACTGATTTTTCGATTCAGCTATTAATGGATAGAATATTAGAACTTTAACTAGAAATACTAATACAATTCAGTTTTTAGACTTTAAGGTAGTTTTTTAAACTGTAAGTATTAAAAAAATCATGGAAACGAAACCTCACTTCGGCCATAGTACATTGAAAGCGAGGTCAACTCTTCAGTTTTGGAACTTGCAAGTAGAAATGAAAGCAAGTAATCTTTATTACAAATTAGTACCAGTCTGCTAAAATGAATAATGCGCAACTTGTGATTAAACATACCCTTATGTTTTAAGCCACATAAAAAAATGAAAGTGAGGCTTGCCACGACTCCAATCATAAGTCTGGCACCATGCCATTCAACAGTTTACAATGTATCAAATTGATTCAAGGAACACGGTCGAAAATGGCTTCCTCGTGAATAAGGTCTATACAAGAAAAATGGCACGCAGTCCGCTCAGTCCTAATTAACCCTGACTCGAACTCCATTGATGCAGTAGATTTAATTACTCGGTGACTTGTAGTCGGTTTTCCACTTTAATTGCGTCTCGCTCCATTATTGTGTGCCGTTCCGCCTCATTTCTTTTTTATAAGCCTTCATCGATCGATCTGATGAAGTTTTTTGGTTGACAAGTATACACTAATTAACATTTTTTTAAATGGCAGCCTAGGTCACCAGACTCCATTCAATGATTACACATGTATTTGCACGTGCACTCAGAGCACAAGCTGACTCTTGATAATTTACTAGTCTGAGTATCACCCGTTAGGCCCCCCAAAAAAGTCTCCGGTTTCTGGTATGGAGCTTGCCCCAAAAGTGGTGCGGCGACGCGGTTTGTTTTTTTTTTACCTGTTTTTTTTTTTTTTTTTTGGCTTCAAATGTCGGCTGATGACTGCAAATGGTGCCCGACTAAACTTAGTGCAAATATATGGGAGTCCAGAAAGGCCACATAAAGCTTATTCTCGATCATAACCCCATCTAAAAACACGTTAAAATTGTGCAGCAGCAGGAGACCAGTCAAACCAGTGAGTTTGGCGGTTTTGAGACGTCATTTTGTATTGAAAAAAAAAACCTTTTCATTTTGCCGACGCGCATGGCTACGGCGACGGGCGCGCATACCAGAAACCGGAGACTTGTTTTTTTTTTTTTGGGGGGGGGGGCCTTATCCGCGGAGCCCGTCTCCGTATAATGCCTGATATATCAAAGCATGCAGATTTATGCGATCTCGCTCCTCAGCCAATCTGGGTTGACTTTACTAAATCATGACGTCATTTCATTTCCAAATCAGGACTAAACATGCGATTGGTCAATTTGAATGCAGTGTTTTGAAATACATCATTAGGCAGGCGAATATTGCGTAACATATATTGCAGAGCGCGTGACCACAGCTTTTGTTGATGTGTCTAGGTTTTTTTTAAATCCACGTCTATGACAAGACAACAGGTGAATGACCGAAGACCCGATATAGAACGCGCCCGCTGATTTGTCAAAACCTAGTGGTCAAGATGCAGTTGTCTTGCAGAATTAATCAGCGAATCTGCTCAAAAATTATAGACCATGGCTCTATTACATAGACTAAAGATTTACAGACTGCAGTATCCAGTATATT